GTGTGTGTATATATATGACAAAAAGTGAAATTAGAATAATAATAAGTTGAGAGATCTGTAACCTACACCTTGTATAAGCTGTTGGAAATAAAAATCACAATAATTGCTATTAGTTTTGAGCACCTACAATATGCAACGAAGTGCACTAGATAGTTCACATACTATTGTTATCTTTTTCATCTTGCCAGCAATCATGGAAACCAGATACTATTCAGATGTTACACCGGATGGACCTGACATAGAACTTTTATCATACAGTGACAACCTGGGATTTGAGTACAGGGGTTTTCTGCTTTTAAATAGAGTTTATACTGTATTATGTTACATATCAAATATGTACATGTATATATGTATATGCATATATTTGCATTTCGTCACTTTTTACTGATGTTCACTCGTTATTGTCACTAATGTGTCTGTTTCTGAATATTAAATTATCTTTCAATTATATCAGTTTCAGTCCAGTATTAAATTAAAGAGGTGCTAAACACTCTTTTTACTATGTTGAATTCAGCCCTCTTCTTTTTTCTGAGCCTTAGGTTTTTATGGAGCTTTTGTCTATAAAATATCCTTAATATGTTAATGTTGATCTTATTTTTTAAAAGAATTTAAAAGTAAAATCATAATCTTCCCAATACAATACATTTTTATGTCAGTGATATCGTTTCCCTCATAACGACTGTTTGGATATGTGTGGGATTGAGCTACTAAATTTCACTCCCTTCTTTATTTCATTATCTGTTAACAGGAACATCCCTCACTAGGCCAACTTTCAGAAAAGTTAATAGACAACAACATTAATGTCATCTTTGCAGTTCAAGGAAAACAGTTTCATTGGTATAAGGTATGTTCATTCCCAAATTTTAAAAATTAAAATGTTTGCCTTGGTAGTTGAAGTTAGAATACTTCTTAGAACCACAAGGAAGGATTCTGGAGTTATTGCACTTTGTACAATCTAATTTAATACTGTATTAACTAATGTGTGTACTACACAGTGATTTAAGTAAGCGTTTAAGTATAGATTCTGTATTTGTAACACCTAGAATCAAGTGTAGGCACTGAAACTTGGTGTGATACTGACTGTGATAATAACAGGAAGGAATTTCATCAGGTGAAAAGTAGTTCACATTCCAATTGCAATATCCAAGTCCGGAGTGCTGCTCATAGGCCAGCCCATGGGCATATCCTAATAATAGATTATGTTGGGAGAATATCAGCTTAATTTTCAGCAGCACCAGCATACCTAGATTTGGTCAAGGTCATCCAATAAGAGAACAAGAGGAGCCAGGGAAGCGGCTTGCTACATAAGAATAACCTTGGTTTTGTCCAGAATCCTTCGGGCCAGTGGAACCCATAGCAGAATAGACATTTGGCAGCACCATGGGACCTCCCCACAACATAGAACTGCTCTTGTGTGACCTGGTATAGCTTTCTCTTTGCAGTCTTTTCTTTCTTCCAGAAAACTCTCTTTTCTTCATTTCCATGATGCCATGATACTCTAATTTCATTGCACGTGTCTAGTCATGGGTCTTCCTCATCTGTTCTATCATCTTTGCTTCTTCCTTCTACTCCCAATGTCCTTTACTTATTTTTTAATACTGCAGAGAAACTACATTTTCATTTGTCTTCAACAAATACTTGAACTCATTTGCATTTACCACAAAACGGATGTGCCCTCCATCAGCTTCAGTAATATCCAACTACCGTATTTATCGTCTGATAGCACTACTTTAATCGTTCTACCTCTTCCCCTAGAAATCTGTAGTGAAACTTTAATTAATTCACCATTTTCCCAAATTTATATGCCATGGAACCCCTTTTTAATGTAACAGCCATTAATACCCACAGAAGAAGGGCTCTGGGCCCCAACCCAATGCCCAAACTACTTTAGTAACAAAGGTAACGGCTTCCACTTAATTGAGTACTTACTATTGTCAGGCACTGAGTTTATTAACTCATTTAATACTCTTAACAACTCATAACAATGAGGGCAGTATAACTAATATGCCCATTTTTTAAAGATGAGGAAACACATTTAGGGAGGTTTTTATATATGCCCAAACTTTCCTAACGGCCTCCTAAATCCTATGCTCTTTAACCTCTAAGCTTAATAGTTGAATTTCAAATTATCGTGCAGCCTTTTTTGGGAGAGAGGGGTTAATTTATTTTTCAATTATAGTTGACATACAATATTACATTAGTTTCAGGTGTACAACATAGTGATTAAATATTTATATACCTTACAAAGTGATCACCCCAATAAGTCTAGTACCCATCTGGCACTATATATATTTATTACAATATTATTGACTATATTCCTTATGCTGTTTTCATTGCTTTTGCCTCCTCTTTCTCTGCTATTTATTATTTCTGGATGGTGTTACTGGCTCTAGCAGTTTCTCCATGCTCCATTAAAAATAATTTCCACTGACTTATAAACCATAAAATCAGGCAGGCTTATTATTATTGAATTGTGTGCAAAGTAAGAGTTGACAGGTTCTGAACACATGACAAGTTCTATTATGAGTCCTGTGTATGCTCTTAGAGTTACCTACGTTGGCTGCCCTGTGACATTTTTATCAATCACCTTCGTCTGTCTTGTAACAGCCTCTTAACACATCTCTCAAATCCATCATCCACCTGGCTATTTAAATCACAGGTGTGACCACAGTACTCCCTAGAATAAAATGTTCCTGTAGTTCCCTCTGAGTTAGAGTATCAAGTCTTTAATGTGGCATAGGAGACTGTCTGGTCCCTGCTTGCCTCCCTGGCCTCATCACTCGCTATTCTCTGCCTTACACTTGCCCCTCCAGCCATCCTTCTAATTCTCTTGTGCACACCATTCACCAGGCTCTTTCACTCCTTTGTGCCAAGTTTCATACCAACTATGCCTTCAAGTCCTTCTCCCTCATTACTTTCCTAACTCTTACTCGTCCTTTAAGACACAGCTCCTCCAGGAAACAATTCCTGATAACCTTCTTCAGCCCTCAGCCCTCAGATGCTTGCTCTCATTAGGGTCTGTGCATTCTTCCTCTTGTTTCATGTGTATGGTTTTTTTTTGAAACTGTCATTTATGTACCTGTGAGATCCTTAAGGGTGAAAACTAGTAGCCTAGCAACTTAGCATCTCCAAAGTGGTACACAACAGGTGCTCAACAAACGTTAGATAAATGGATTTTTAAAATCTGCAAGTGACACATTTTCCCCATTACCTGAGATACCTAGTTGTTAGTGTCTAAGTAGTGGCTGGGATACAGAAGGAACTTAATACTTCTGAATAATGAAATGAGTGTATAAGTGGATTTCAAGACTTTTCATAATCTGATTCCTTATAGTAAACATGCACCCTTCACTCCAGTCAGACTGGTTTCTTCTCTGTTCTTACTTTATCTAAAACTCAGGGAAACTTTTAAGCCTTTGCTAATTGTTTTTCTCACTAGGAATACCTACCTAGGGTTTTCTCCATAGTTATTCAGTACCATCCATCAAGAACACCCACTCCATGAAGCTTCCACTTGTGACTACGACTTTTTTCTCCAGTCTGGGCCAACGTGTAATAAAGTTCATTCCATGGAACAATTGTTCTGCAAAATGTTTATATGAGAAAAAAGTTTATAATTAAAGAAATGCTAGAAAATGCTGCATTCAATAATGCTAAATTATTTCTGAATTGTAGGACTTCTCTGAACCTTTAATTGCAAGCATACATTTTGAGTCTCTAAGTTGAAGAAACAATATGCAGAACTTCTCAGACTTACCTGCCCTTAGAACCCTTTCGCGTTTAAAATCTCTTAAGACTATGTTCCTAGGAAGATACTTTGGGAAATGCTGGCCTGTACTTCAATTAAGTTTTTAGGTTAGCATGTAACTTGTGCATGCACACACACTCTTGCACATATACTGCCATTTCAGGTGTATATGCTTTGGGTGCCCTATTTTTTTTTTCCTCATATTTTTTGATTCATGTAATGTCACCTTCATTGATAACTACAAGACTTTTTAATATCTGTTGGTTGCCAAACTGTTGCATATGACTGTCATTAAGTAAATGTTATTGGTATATTTTCTAGGACCTTCTACCCCTCTTGCCTGGCACCATTGCTGGCGAAATAGAATCCAAAGCTGCAAACCTCAATAATTTGGTAGTAGAAGCCTATCAGGTATGTATATATTAAACACAATTTTAAAAAATAAACTTTTAACCCCCATTTCTGTGGCAAGGTACAAACTAGTGCCCTATCATCTTGAAAGGAGTGGTGTTAAGAACGTTACATTAGTGATGAAGAACCTAAGTTTAGGTCCGGCTCCCCTAATAACTAGCCATCAAACCTTTGGAAAGTCCCTTCAGCTTTCTGTGCCTCACTGTGTCTCACTGACAGTAAACCCAGCTTAGACTACAGGTCATCTAAATTTCCTTCCAAATCGAATGTTCAGTGAGTCACCAAATCACAGCTATAGAATATACTTTGTTACCAAGAAATTTCACAATTTCCTATGTCACAAAGATAAAGTACGAAATTCACATTGTTATTTAAAGCAGTAACCTGTCAGGGGAAATGAGTTATCTGGAATACAGAAATTACTAAGAGAACTCTGTTTGAGTCTCTTAGATCAATCACTTGATGGTTCAATCAGTTATTTTAACAATTTTATAAAGCTAGTTTGATTAAAAGAACACCTTAAGAGATATACTATTTTACTGAGTTGACAGTTGTCTGCTGTCCCCAGTCTGCGAAGAGTGGATGCCAATGCAAAGATTTAAAGAAACATCTGCTCTTTCAACCTAGGTCATTCCTGGAATGAATTCTCTGTTAAGGTGTTGTAATAATAGTGAGTGTTACTTTAATGCCACTAAGATCAGTTATTTTCCATACATGATCTCATTTAATCTGTGCAACTGACCTATAAAACAGATGTCAATGTTCCCACCATATATTCGTAGAACCTCAAAGAAGCTAAGCAAATTAACCAAAGGTCAAACAGCTAACAAGCAGAAGCAACAGGAACAGAGCCTAGGTCTTCCTTAACCGCAGGCCCCAGGAACATCCTTCAGTCTGCTATCACCTGTTTGTTTTTTACATAGTATCCAAAGATATGCTTTATTCTACCCTGAAGCCATGGACCGTTAATAAAGTCTCACTTCCCCAAATTTTCTGATTCCCTTCCTGACATAGTAGGGTTGAGTAGCAGAAATGGTAGCCCAAGCAGTGTGAGAAATCTCAGGTTTCTCTTATTTTCTCCATGCAGCATCTGCCTTCAACTCAGATACAAAAGGGAAAGGCAGGAAGTAGACACGAGATAGAAAATGAAGGGCTCATTTAAATCTTCTTTTTTTTAAAGTATTTTAAAATAAACTTGTGAGATTTTTTTTTTTTTTGCCAAGGAATTTCTCGATGTCTGAAAATTACATTGAATGAAATAAGGAAAAGCATGTTTGATTGTATTTCTTTCTCACTGTCACAAAAGAACATTAGGACCCGAGTAGCTTCTTATCAAGGAAAATCAAATGTGTGTAAAATTCATTCTCATTCCTATTCTGTTCCCAGGAATAATCAAAATAAGGAAGGAGCTTACAGTGTCATAAGCCACCCTAGTTTTTACAGTATGGACCCATTTATTAAACAAGGAATATAATTTGATAGACTTGCTTGTGTGTCAGACTGCATCAATGGAAAGGCAAATGGCAGCATTTGGTTTTATGTTCTTTATTTGCCTAGGATCGGTATGTGATGCCTTAGCTAACTGCAGTTCTGATGAACCTTACGCAATGGAAAAATACTAGTAAATCCAATGAAAACTTACTCTAACTAATCTTCTTAAGTTGAGATCCTGTTATTATTTTATATATGTCTATATTTTCAAAATTCTTCTGAAATTTCATTTTGTCTTCACAGCCCAACAGAAACTATTCACAATTTATTGAAAAAAAGTTTTTTCATTCTAACTTTTCATTTTTTGCACTTCATTTTAAGAATCTTATAAAAGTATATACAAACTTAGTACATGGTGAGTGTGATTACATTTTTGGTTTTATCCTATATATCAGCACTACCATTAGAATTAAAATTATGTAAAAATCATAACTCTAATAATAGTAATTTAGCTGAAATCAAGAAATGAAAATGAATGACACTGAATGAAAAAGGAATTGTATATCACAAAAAATAGATTCTGCCTCTGTACCTGTTAGATTTTAAAAGGGAAGCTTAAGATTGTGTCTGGAGCTTCATTTCTAAATCCTAAAATTGGACAAAATTTTAGATGTTTGTCTTCACACCCTCCTTGATAAAACATTACAATTAGCTTAAAGTTTTAAGAGAAGCAGAATTTCAGGAGGGCAAACTGAGAACACTTATTATAATAGGAACTTCCTTCTGATAAGTTAAACCATCATCATAACAACACCATTTGCATATCAAAAGTTTCTGTTGGTTTGCCAAAATTGTTCAATTAAATGATTACAATGTATGAGCTCTTTGGGCAATAAAAAATGTAGCTGACATAGTCTTACCTAATCCAAATAGAATTTACTAATTTGAGGAAGTATCTTAGTCTAAATAAAGATTTATTACCATAATTCCATGATCAATCATTAATTAGTCAGCACACATCTCTTTATTGATTATACAGCAGCAGAAGAAAAATTACTCAAGTAAAGAATTAGGAGTCATTTGAAGTTTTCTTCTTCATACCCGACTACTGAACTCTTTTTCCTTAGGTACTTACTTCATCTTTGCCCTTCCTTTGTTTACAAGCATATCTTAAGGATCTTTCCATGGGGTAGACTCTGAATTTTATGAGATGAAATACCCACAGATCTACAGTATATATTTAATGCAGCTAGAACTTTTGAAACTTAAAGATTATGATGGAAGGAATTAGTGTATGCTTCATACATGATGGGCATTACTCAGATTTTTTTTAATGATTGCATAAATGAATAGTTTTCTGTTCAGTAAGGGGCTCTATTTCAACAGTATGAATTAGAACAAGCTAGAATTGCTTGATTGACACAAGCAATTCTAAGCTATACTTGGAAAATGCATAGGACCATATCTGGCAGGTAATTCTTATGCTTATAGGATAGAAATGGCCTCCCAAAAATTCACCTTTCAATTTTTTATCAATAATGCATTTTAGCTTTCATGATATTCTACAGTGTTTAAAACCAAAATGTTTCTCTAATAATAGCTATAAATGTCAGAAGCATGTTATAGATTTTAAACTGTCAAAATTGACCCTCTATGATGATATGTATTTTCAATATTTTATTTAAATTTTTATCACAAAATATGAATATGATTGGATTAAAAATGATTGTTTTTATAACAGGCCGAGTGAGATTTATCTTTGAAGTAAGTGATCAAAATGCACAGTCATGGAAATATGTGAAAAAATAGAGCAATTTAAATGCAGATAGTCTAATCCTTCCATATTTATTATGTATTTCAAATATAATTGAGTCATTATGTGGAAACAGTGTTTTTATTCATCTTTTATAGAGACTCTTTGGTTTAGTTAAATTAAATCTAGAATGATTTAATAAGCATGACTCTGTGTAGCTGCTTACATTTGAAACTGCTATAGTATACAATTAAAAAATTGTCTCTGCAGAAACTAATATCAGAAGTGAAAGTTCAGGTGGAAAACCAGGTAAAAGGCATCTACTTAAACATTACCGCCATCTGTCCAAATGGGACCAGAAAGCCAGGCACAGACGGATGCGGAAACGTGACAAGCAATGATGAAGTATGTGGGTGTGCTTTTCCCCATTTAAAATAAACTAATTGTTTGGCATGCTTTCTCACAGAAAATCAAACCATCCTGAAAAACTTTACTTACTACTGACTCCAAGGATCTTATTTATACTTTAAAGTAACTTTATTATCTCTTTGCAAAGTTCCTACTTGTTTTAATTTCATTGACTGTTCTTTCAAACTCTCAAGTTAAAATAAATATATATTATATTAAATACTTTTTCAATGATAATAACTTTAAACTTAGGTGTCACAGCCATTATATATTAGGAAGTCACATCTCCTCAAACAAGTAGTATCTATACTTACAATGACGATAATACCTTTTGGTTTTGAATCTGAAAATGCTCAGAGTAATATGAAACTGAAAATTAATAAGCCACAGAAAAGAATGGGAATGATGGAGCAGCTGATAAAGACTAAGAATTCCAAAATCTTTCACTTTGTGATTATCCCAATACACTCATCATGATCTAGGAGGAGGCAAGGAAATTTGTTAAGAACAATAAAAAGGCAGTATCATCATTTAACTAAAAAGGAATGAAATGTGGAAAAGAGAGGCCCAGGTTATAGTAGCATCAGGATACAGGACCGTGGGAGATACGGATTCTCCCGGGACTGGCACAATAGAGAGTAAACACAAAGAAATATGCGTTTAAAGGGAATTCTTGTTGGATGAAGTGATTATCAGTGAGTCATTTACCTCTTGAGGCATCAGCTGCCCCATTTTTAAATGAATAGTTTGGACGAGAAGACTTCTAATCCCTTTTCCTTCCATCTCTAAGAGTCTATGATATTATTTTAATGTCATGCTACAGAGAAAAAGAAAGTTATTGAAAGAGATAAAAAGCCCTAAGATTCTAAGATTGAATACAAGAGAATCTTCCTTTCTCTTTAGTTTGAGGACATTTTTCCCTCTTGATAAGTTCAGAATCTTCAGGCAGTATAGCTCTAACAAGATGTACATTTGAAATTAATTATTGCTAGATTCTAGTTTTGTAGGCTCCTCTAAATCATTCCTTGGACTTTGTTCAAAAGACATTATATTTCAGTTTATAAAATACATATTTGATTTTTATTAAACATATAAAAAACTTTGTTTTAACAAAGGGTAACACTAAGTTACTTTCTGAGTAAGAGTTACCTTCTTAGAAATAGTTCATTCTTTCAAAATCGGTTTTGACAGAATGTTTTTCCCTATTTCTTACTTTTTTTTTCTTTGTCTAAATTCTGTTATTCCTCTCACTTTCAACAAGTAGTATAAACAGGTTAATTCTCGGGAAGAGTCAATATGACCTCTTGATTATATAAAACCTGAGTTTTGCTCTATTATAAATATTGGCAGTGATCATATTATCCTATATGTCTGTTAATTCTTAACATTCTTAAGATAAAAAACATTTCAAGTACAACACCAACTGCATTGATTTTAATATTATGATACTAATTCTAATTTCTAATGCATATATATCGCCTAAATATAGATCTTTCATATCATTACATGTGTGTATATAAATACGTGTGTATATATGTGTATGTATATGTATATACATATACAAGTATGCATATACATGTATATGTATGTATATATGTATATACATACACATACAAATATAAATATATTTGTGCTAGGCTCTTTGCTTGGGATGGATATAGCCATATATATCCATATATATTATATATCAATTCATATATATACCTGTATATATATGAATAACTATACATATATATATATATATACCTACATATGTATGTATCAAAAGTGGAATGGACATTTCAAATAGTCTTGAAACTCTGTCCATTTAATGATGCAGTACAGGCAAGTAGCAGTCATTGCATCTTTTTAACTGTCCAGTTTATATAAAGAAATAAATGGCATTGATTCAAAATATCATTAACAGATATAATACTGGTAATAAAAATCATCAAGAAGTATAAATATATCTTCTTCCCCTCCCTTTGCCCCAAATTTAGGTTCTTTTCAATGTAACAGTTATGATGAAAAAATGTGATGTCACAGGAGGAAAAAACTATGCAATAATTAAACCTATCGGTTTCAATGAAACCACTAAAATTCATATACACAGAAACTGCAGCTGTCAGTGTGATGACAGCAGAGGACCTAAAAGAAAGTGCATAGATGAAACTTTTCTAGATTCCAAGTGTTTCCAGTGTGATGAGAATAAATGTCATTTTGATGAAGATCAATTTCCTTCTGAGAGTTGCAAGTCACACAAGGATCAACCTGTTTGCAGCGGTCGAGGAGTTTGTATTTGCGGGAAATGTTTGTGTCACAAAATTAAGCTTGGAAGAGTATATGGAAAATACTGTGAAAAGGATGACTTTTCTTGTCCATATCACCATGGAAATCTGTGTGCTGGTGAGTATAAATATCTACATGCAGTTTTTACTAGTTATTATTAAATTAGCATATATGTTAAAGTATCTTTAAATCTCATCTTTATAATTACTAACCCTGAATCTGAATTTAATATTCAGAGTTTCCATCTTTGAAATTCAGGCATGGCAACAGATTTATACCACATGATTCTGATATTTACATTTTAAATCATTTTGTACAGTAAATATTTAAAAATAAAAAATTAATTGTTATTCTCAAGAATGCCTCAACCTTGTAAAGATATATACCAGAAAAAGAAATTACTGATGATGTCCGACAGGTTTTCTAAGATCAGGGTATACTTCTAGAAGGATCTGATTCATTCTCATAAGTGGTCACTTCCTCCAGCTTCCTCAGAGGATAGTGAGCTATAAAAATATACTTTTCATTCACTAGAGAATTCTTAATGCATTATTACAGATGGCATTGTAAATTGGTAGTGATTTAAACTTTACTAGTTTATTTTTGGAAAATCAGCAACAGAATTGTCAAAAGACAACATTCTTCAAGAAAATATTGGTTTTATAAGTAATCTGGAAGATTATTCCCAGAGGCCACACACAGATCAAATTTTAAAATGAAATCATTTGACACAAAAATATCAAAAGTATTTTTTGGCTAATTCAATTTACTGCCACCTAGAGGTTAGGTTCCAGGAAATCTATATAGCATTTTAAAAATTAATATAAATTACTATTTTCAAAGGAATTGAGTTTTCTGTGACAGTGTGCTACATCCACCTACTGTTAAACCAGCTTTTTAGTGTTTGCATTTTGGTAAGCAAATGTTAATTAGATTATTGATGAATTGAAATAGTTCATTATCATAAGCATACAGAAGGTAAGATATTTATACAAAATGAATTCTTATGTAAGCTAAAAAATTGCCCTATATCATATAAATATGTGACATAGGGCAATTTGCCTTCTTATTTTATTATATACAAAAAATATTTTATATTCCAAACATTTATTCATCTCTACCTGGTATCATGGGTAGAATGGATTATAGATGACTTTAGAACAAACCATTAATTTTTTAGAGCTAATTTTTTAGAGCTAATCCTGTTTGGGACAAGGAAGAGAAAGAATTCTGAGATCATTTCCCTTAGCTGTCAATCTCTCAAAGAAGTTTGAAATAAATCGAGATTCCCAGTCTCTGTTTATAGTAAAATATCAAAAAATCAATGTACTGGGTCTTCTATATGACAATACTACTGATGCATGAGCAGTTGAAAATCTGCTTTGAATTATTTGTGTATAACTTGCAAGCGCAGGCCATAGGCTGACAATTACTTTCTTCACTTGCCTCATTTGAGAATAAAAACACATGTTCATAGGTCAGTTGGCTGGGATTAGTCATGAAGCTTGCTTGTGGGGAACAGGGTCTGGCAGGTGTTCGTCTGGCCTGGACTTCATTAGTTTTACATTTAGCAAAATAAGCTGACCTAACAGTGGACTCTATGGAACAGTTACCCTATGAGATGCTCTACAATAAAGGGAGGGAAGGAGGAAGCCAGAGAAGGAAGGGAAGGAGGGAAGATAGGAGGGAAAAGTCTGTAGTTGAAAAAGCTTGAGAAACACTATATAATCCTGTAAAAGGTACTCCCTCTTGAAGATTTCTAGTTCACATTAGCATATTAAGTTTTGGATACTTCTGCAGTCTAAAATCCATTTAGCTATATATAACCAGTGTTTTTCCTCAATTTATCTGTCTGCACAGATGTCCCCAACGCTGGCACACACACACATCTACTGCCTTGCTTTCTGTCTTGCTTTTTCTCATTACTAATAATAGCCCACAGCATACTTTTGACATGCCCTGCCAATCTGCTAACTAATGTCCTGAAGATGTGAAAGGATTAGTTCAGCTTCCTTGGAGATATTATCTTTAAACATGGCACTAGCGGAACTGAAGCACTAGAAGGGTTTGCCTCGTGAACCTTCAAAGTTATCCCAGGCCCTTGGCAATAACGAGAAACAAAGAGAATAAATTATGGAAGCTATTAATCAAATACTCGTTTTTTGAATATCGAGTCAGACAATTAACATTACTTCAGCCTTTGTAGCTTCTTTATATTTGTGTTTTTAATTTAAACCAACGTACAGTGACCTTCAAGTAGTTGGGCAGCCACTGAAGGGCAGACTTCACAACTGACAGCACAATACATTAGCACCAGGAGATTATCTACAATCGAACAGCTTTGAAAACACACACCCCTATGTCCTGGCACTCAGACAAATAGAAAATGATGCTGTTTCCATTTCACTTGACCGGCAGTGTGTTTCCATGGAGATGGGAGGGGAATTCACGTTTGGAAACGCTTCACAAAGTCGGTGGCCCCAATAACTTAGGTCCTGGGGTGTCTTTATTGCAGGGCACGGAGAGTGTGAAGCAGGCAGATGCCAGTGCTTCAGTGGCTGGGAAGGCGATCGGTGCCAGTGCCCGTCAACATCAGCCCAGCACTGTATCAATCCAAAGGGCCAGGTGTGTAGTGGAAGAGGCACATGTGTATGTGGCAGGTGTGAGTGCACCGATCCCAGGAGCATAGGCCGCTTCTGTGAACACTGCCCCACGTGTCACACAGCCTGCAATGAAAACTGGTATGTGTTCCCTGACTGCAAACATACATAAAGCAGTCCTTCATTATAGCTATGTTTGTCCTTTTTTATTCTGCCTTTCTTAATCTTAGAAGTTGCTGGATCTTCTCCTCAGGTAAACTATTATCATCATGCTAAAAGATAAATGAATGGAGGATTTAGGAATTATAAGACTTAGATTCCAAACTTTGGCCACTAGATATCTGTGGAAGTATCCGAATTTATCTAAGCATTCACTGCCTTACCTTTTTTCAGTTAGGTTTTTTTTAAAGAATAATATTCAGTGTTCATAAAGGTTTATTGGGCTTTTTCCCAGCTTCTTTGAGATATAACTTCATGCAATTATATTGTGTACAATGTGATGATTTAGGGGCTGCCAGCTTCCCAGCTTACTACTAATTAGGTGTTTGATACAGGGCGAGTTGTTGAAATTCTCTGTGCCTCAGTTTCCTGATACCGAAAGTGAGAATAATAATAGTGTCTTGCTATAGTTCTGTGAAAAAATTAACTTAGATGATTCATGTAAAAAAACAAACAAAAAAAAACTTTGTACTTGGTACACAGTAATCATAGAATAAATGTTAGCTATTGTCATCTTTTTATTTGTATTAAAGATAAAGAATGATGGTGGTTATGAAGCACTATAGAAATAAATGATGAATAAATGAAAGGCAATATGTTAAATGAAGGTAGCATTATTGTTTTGTGTCAGTAATTAATTTTCCAATAATAGTCTGAGTCCTGTTCAAAGACCACTACTCTAAACACCGCTATGCATTCCAATTTGTTTTATTCAAACTCTTAAGACGTTCACTTTTTTGGATTGGTAGCTCAAGTAAAATTTTTTAAACTATGCATAGTAATTTATGTAACTATCTTGGAAATGCAGTACTTAAACATGATGGAGTTATTTTTAATGAATCCAACCAAAATTTGAACTGTGCATTCATTGCTAAACTTTTCCAGTAGTATCTTAATATTCATCTTCTAAAACATCTATGCTAGTTGTATGTGTATGTGTGTAGTAAGAGTATTTTATTCATTTCCTAGAGATTTTCTTCTCAAGATAAAAAATCATAATTTTTATTTTATATATTATTAAACTACTTTAAGTGGTTAGAAAGTAACTTTGCCATGGTACTAAATTCAGTCAAGATTACAATTAAGTGTTACAGCTTTCTTTCCCATTTTTACAAGGCTGCTGCCCTAAAGCAATACTCTATTTCTTATAGAAAATACTACAGGCTACAATCTTATTAAAGTTATGTGTTTTCACTTCTGTTTCCCCTTACAGGAATTGTGTGCAATGCCTTCACCCTCACAATCTGTCTCAAGCTATACTTGATCGGTGTAAAACCTCATGTACTTTCATGGAACAGCATTATGTGGACCAAACATCAGGTAAACCAAAGTTTAATAATCAAAGCACTGAAAAAATATCTGTACAGAATCATGTTTCTCCAAAGGGCCCATAATCGACATCCTAAAGAATGGACTAACTGCTTCAATGTTTTCAATCTCCCAGAGATAGTACTCTATAAAACCAGCTGAGTATGTTTGCCAGGCTTTGGCTGAATCGTTAGAGCTCCCATCTCAGCTAAATTCCCATGCTGTGCATCTCCATGGAAATACAACAAACAGATTTTCTAGTGGCCTCAGTGAGCCAAGAATAGGAGTTTCTATAGAGAGTCCATTTCACTCTTAGGGACAAGATCTATGGAACTACAATTATCCTTCATAACCCAAACCTGCTTCCTGTTATAACTTTCCTCGTGTCAAACCAACATTTACTTTCATGTTTCAGGTGAAGCCAAAAAATTCTAAGTAACAGTGGTCTGCTTTTGCAAAATGCATAGCTTCAAAGGGTTGAAAGATTATAAAGGTGGCAAAATGGAAAGATGGCACAATGAAGACTTGGGCTTCAGACATGTTTCTTGACACTAGTAAATAAGAAATATCGCCCCTCTTACTATATTTCCCTGAGCCTCAGTTTCCTCAACTGTAAAATGGAGATAATACCAATCTCAGAGTTGTGTAAGATAAATGAGCCAGTGGACATGAAAGAAGTACGTAATTTTAAAGATACCACGTAAATGAGAGAACCACGTGAAAGCTGTGTTCAATGATCATTTTCGAACAAAAGTTCATTAGAATCCAATAGCCCGCAACCTGCTTCACTCATGTATAAGGTGTTAAGTTGTACATGAATTAGAAATTAAACTTGAAATTGTCTTCACCAAAAACATTCATACTGCTACTTTTATCTAGCCTCTCTTCCAACCTGTAAGAATAATTCCAGCTCTTAGAGAGAGTGCACAGAAAAATAAACTTTCTCCAGAGTTGTATTTCCTCCTTCCCTCACATCCACACTGATCTTAGCCCGTAATGAATTTGGCTCTGAAAACAGCCCATGTACTGCCAGCTGGGGCTGTAGCAATCACTCCAGAAAGCTAAGTGCCTTTTCTAATAAATAGAGCCCTTACTGTCAACATGTCATTTATTATGTTAAGTAAACAAACCTACTGTGACCTAAGTGTCATTACTAAAAGTATTCCATTAAAGCTCCTTAGGAAAAGCCCCAGTTTGACCTAAACTATGATGGTCATGGCCAGGGCTTAATGTTTGGCTATCCAAAATGACATTTTAAAATGCATGCAGTTTTGAGCCCTGAAAATGTCCTCTCTCCTAAACCATTAGAAATATTTGTAAAATGTATCAGTAGCGAGGGGACTCCCCACCCCTTCACAACTATTGTGCAAAAAGAGGAAAAGGGCATTTGTTAGCCACCTCTATTATCTGTCCACTCAATCACACTTAAAGGGTGTTCTTTGGTCTTTCTGGCTAAGCTTCTACTAGGCGAGAAGCCAGTAAGTGGGATCAAGCCATGTGCCCCTATAAGGATCTGCCTTAGCTGACTGAGTAGTTCTAAGTCAGCCAAGAGAAATAACAATCTGTCAAGATGAAAAGCATGCATGTCACAAACCTTAGGGTTGATGTGGAAGGCTCCAAGGACATCGCTTTAAATAGAGAATCTTGGAATCTCCGTTGTGAGACCTGTAACGAGGGGAAAATTTTATTTATATTTAGTGCTTCTATTCTAATTAGTAGTCCTCCAGCCTCCCTTTAACCTTTCTTTCAAGGAACCTTATCATTGACCAAAACAAAACTGGGCTTTAAGTCTTCTCCCTTGGAGAGGAGCTCTTGCCTTTGTTCCTGAGTTCCTGGCTTATTCAAGAGCATGCTTGGTCATCCCTGGGAATTCAGACACAAATCACCCATAATTGGGTGATCGCTTTTTTAAGCCTTGGCAAGTCCTCCCCCAAAGGGCGCTCTCAGGGAGACCTTAAGACATTTAGGTGAAGTCTCCAAAATCTGGCGAACACATGCCTCTTTAGGCCAGGAGGTAATTTTGTGAGTCTGGGGCAGCTGGTGAGTTCTATGGAACACTTGCATATTGTGCAATCATTTTCCTCTTGGATTTGGGTAATACCTCTGGCAGCCACACCCTAGCCTGCCCCTCCTCTTAAGGCAGTATATCATTTCCAGCTAGTAATTATTTAGTCTTGAAAAAATATACAGTGGAATTTTCAGAAACAAAATTGAATAATTTGGTTAATAGACAAGTAAAAAGTAAATTAATAAAAATTTGTGTATTGTCCTGAATTGGACATTCTCATTTCCTGGAGAAAATATGTGTAATAATCATGAAAAGCTACACTGCAATTTCAAAAGAAATATGTATTCATCTGTTACAGTTGTACTGATTTTAGCTTCTGTGAATGTTTACTTTATTTTCCATTACCGATGTGCAACAAATGAAGAGGAAACATAACAAGAGAAATATATGCTGATGAGTAGAGCTGTTAAATAATTTTTTAAATCCTGTTTTCCACTAGTAATCAAGTGTACACACCACAAAAACTGACTCCGTCACTGTCTGTCTGTCTGTCTCTCTCTCTCTCTCTCTCTCTCCTATCATTCATAAAATTATATTTGGTTAAGGGGTGTGGACATATTCCAGTTAATACAACTAACAAATCAAGCTGCAAAGAAATACATTTATTAAATACCTTAATTGTGGCTATTCTCCAAAGGAGAATTTTAATGAAAATATTTTAATAATAGATGTGTAATAAAAATTAGAGTTTATTCCTTGAATCAACAGTAATGGCAGTCTTTTGTTTTAAAACTATAGATATGCAAATATCTCTGGTCCTGTTAATTGAGATGGTAAATATTGTTTACTTTTGGAATCTTTGATTTACTCATTCTAGTTTTTAATCCATTTATTTATTTGCTTCATTACAGAATGTTTCTCTACCCCAAGCTACTTGAGGATATTTTTCATCATTTTCATAGTTACATTCTTGATTGGGTTGCTTAAAGTCCTTATCATTAGACAGGTGATATTACAATGGAATAGTAATAAAATAAAGTCCTCAGCTGATTACAGGGTGTCGGCCTCAAAAAAGGTCAGTGAATTCTTAAAAAGAATTACTATCAGTATGCCATTGTCTACTTCTAATATTTAAGTCCTCAATTAATGATGATATTTCTTCTCCATCAAGGACAAGTTGATTCTGCAAAGTGTTTGCACAAGAGCAGTAACCTACCGACGTGAGAAACCTGAAGAAATAAAAATGGATATCAGCAAATTAAATGCTCATGAAACTTTCAGGTGCAACTTCTAAAAAGATAAAAAGTACTTTATGAGAAACTGGATTTTTAATAATTGCTCCTAAAAATTATAATTTTAGAAGTCACAGGAGGAGACAGATTGTTCTAGATCATGCCAGTTGCTAGTTGTCCACTCGAATGAAGACTGACGAGCATCCTCATCATCATGTGACTCACATCGCTGCTGAATTTTTCAGAGAAAAATGTGTCTTACTACTGTTTGAGACTAGTGTCATTGTAGCACTTTACTGTAATATATAACTTATTTAGATCAGCATAGAATGTAGTTCATCTGAAGAGCACTGATTACACTTTACAGGTACCTGCCATTCCTACGCTTCCCAGAGAGACACAATGCTGTGAGATAGTTTTGGCATTGTGTCACTACAGGGTACAGTAATCCCTGCATGAAACATGCAACAGGAAAAAAACAATAAGGCAGTTATGCTAATGTTGACAAACACTTCAAAATTAGCAGTGAATTGTCAAGAATAGGCAGATGAATAAATGGGTAGCGTTTCATTCATTCAAGAGGTGAACAGATAAAATCTTAATCTTGAGGGATATTGCTTTTGAAACTGTAGTTTTATGCATGTGTTTGTTTTCTTCTTTTTACAAGATGGATACTAATGCCAATATTCTCTCCACTTTGCCTTTATATTTTGGTTTTCTTTCTTACAGGATAAGTTTATATATGTCACAGATGACTGGATTAAATAAGTGCTAAGTTACTACTGCCATAAAAACCTAATAATACAATGTCACTTTATTAGAATTCTGGTTTTAAAAGCTGAATGTTTAATAAGGAACACTGTAAAGTAACATCGAAATTTGAACAGCTTCGTTGTTTGCAGATGTGGAGTTTTATATCTTCTTACCTGGTAAACTGGATGGACTATTTTACCATTTCATCTATCTAACCATCACATTAAAATTCACAAGATATTTAGAAACTCTGCCTCAAGCAAAGTGCCACACCTTTGAATGCGATTTCTCATATTTAATCCAAGTAGATATTAGCATTTTTTCAAATTAAAAGCTATATTAAGCTATATTATTTTTGCCCTTCAATGAAGCCTAAGGACATACATTCCCTATATCACCTCAACCCCAATCTCCAGAATTCTAAAAGTATGTAATTGGAGGAGGATAGACAACATTTTAGAAATAAGCTAATTCACTCTTTGAGTTAGTCAAGGAACCACAGCTCAGAAAGTTCAAATAATTTCTCAGAAAACTTCTCGGTGATTAAGTGGCAGCATTCAAAGAGAACTTCTGTCTTACTGACAGGCTAGTAGTGTTCATTGCACAATATCATGCTACCTCTTGAGAGTTTTTAAAATATCTAATTGGCAAGTATTTTGAAATGTGATTTACTGAAGTCTTAAGTATATGGGCATGAGAAAATTTAAAAGCAAGACAGAAAAGAGTAATTCAAACTGAACTGGCCATGAATGTCTTCCAATCTTTCCTCCTAATCGGGGTCTAAGAGCTAACTATAGGGACATCCATTCATGCCTTAGCCTGTGTAAACAGCACCCCCTAAAATTTAGCAAGTACTCAGCCGAAGAGATTGATACAAAGGCCATGAGCTTTTATCTCCCCCAATGGAAACTTCTTCACAATTACCATATCCCAACAGACTTACTTAGTCTGATTTTACTGGCTAGACATCCAACAGTCCTGTGTGCAGTACAGAGCTTTGCCTATGACAACCATGTCTTCTAATAATTAACTTGCCAGATTTGCAGTCTTCTAGCACCTGAGTTAATCAAAGTGCTAGAGGTGTGCCTTTCAATGAAGACCAATCCCCACCCCATATTCTACCCTAAAGAGCATTTAAAAATATATAATACGCTGTTCTGAAGCCAACAAACACAGCAGCTCTGTTAGCCATCCCCTAAACCAAGCAATTATGACCCTTTAGTTGAACTGTACTTCCTTCCCCAAATGAGACTGGGGACATTGACATAATTCAGTACTGTGACTCACTTGTGTAAGATACCCTTGATCACCAAGGATAACGTGAAAATCATATTTTGCACCCTGCCTGTCTCACATAGCATACTTTTTTAAAAGGAAAATAAATGGATACCTGACAGCCCCCCAAAAGAGAAAAGTGGAAAAAATACATTTACTAAAACACTGACAATTTAAAAAAATGAACATTATGATGTTCATCAACTAATTTTCATGTGGAATGAATTAACTAAAAGTGCAAAATAAAATGAAACCCTTAAAAATCCAGGATTTATATTTTTCCACTCTCAATAATTTGCACTAATTTATAACAGACTGAGGCTGTTATCATAGGAAGGAACAAACTTCCCGACAGGCACTTCAATGCTAGCTAGTGACTCATTATGCTTGTGATGTCTTGTGCTTTCTTTTTGTACTTAAAGATCTAATTCTTAAAGATTTTAGAGCTTACGTTTTACTTGAATATTGATATTTTCCTGTATAATGGCTTGTGAGAAGAGAATTAATATTTGACTAGTTAGAATTAATTAAAAGGTAAGGGAAAACAGGGTATTCTTAGATTAAATAATATTTGTAAATAGAGCTTATTTTCAACTAATATGACCACAGGAGCGTTTTGAGATTCGCTAATATTAAACTCAAGTAATGAAATCTTAAATGGTTAACAAAGTTAAGAACTTGAACACTTTTGGTACGACAGCATTTCTGTGCCCTGAAGTATGTAATGATTTAGAAATGTGCTATACATACACTACAATATAACTTCTGCATGTTATTTCTCTGGGGACATATTTATACTGCAGTGTACATGGATTTATAAGCATTTGATATCTTGTTGAAAATTAATATTTATGAAGTCGTAGATAGTCTCTGCAAGATTCAAAAATTCACTAAAATATCTGATTATGCTGTAGCTTTGGTTAATAAAGATTTTTTTAAAATCTAAAGTTAGAATAGATTTCTCATAGGGAAATTTTTCAAAACTCAAAATTAAAATTAGTGCATACATCAGATGTAACACTTCACTAAAGAATAAATTCCAAATATTTTTAATATATACTTAATTTCCAGTGAGGATATTCTTATGTATGACAACAGGCATCCAAAAGACATTGAAATATTTTTATGATGAACCATGAAAATTTTTCTCCAAAGAATTATATTCCTCCAGGTACCTGGTATAGCAAAGTAGACTCAATGGCTTTTACTTTCTTTATTTCTGTTTTTTACACTTTTTTCCTAAGAGATTGCCCTAAAATGTCAAACTCAATAAGCCTAATTGTGAAAACTAATCTAATATAATGCTACAATGAAGTTCTTCATTTCTAAACATCATTTAATGATTTTTAAAACTCATTTGTATCTATGTACCCGAACATAGACAGACCACTTAAAAACTAAGAATTCAAAATTCTCACAACTGTTAGAGATCCCTTCAGTTTTCAAAGATTTGAGATCTACATATTTTAATAAAAGTTTCAAGTGAAATATAGCTATTTGGGAGTTCAAGCATATGCATATTGTATTTTTATTTACTTTTAACATTTAATGTATGACTATCCTTATCAATACTGACTTTAAGAACTCCATTTCATGCAATGCAAAATGAAATATATTTTCAAATAAATATAGAACAAGCATTCCTTCAGATCACTTCTGTTTTCTAATTCCTCTATGGAAAAATTTATTATGGGTAACTGATTATATATATTCATATTACATTGATTTTTCAATATAACATCTCTTAAATTGAGATGTATCTTGCAATTGTTGGCATGTTCGATTCAGTGTTGAAAGTTGTGCTTGAATAAATATTACACTAATTCATTTTTAACTAAATATTTATGGGTATAGGCACATTCCTTTCTTACATATATCTGAGAATTCATTTATGATAACATATGAGCCAGTTTTCAGTACAACTGAATCACATACAACTCACCACGGAGCCTGACTGTCTGATTATGAGCTCAGATCCTGCAGACCTTTAGGTTATAAAAGTTTTTTCAGCCTCCTGTTTATACTTTATGCTCACTTAAAACCCTCACTTAAGTGACAAGAATGAGTGGGTTTCTCCCAGTTTTGTCAACAAATTTTTATTGTTTCTATTCCTTTGTAAAAGAGTACATTTATGTCATCATCTCACTTTTAAACAGAATTAACTGGAAGAATATCGCATGAAACCATCATAATTAGATTTTGCAGCATCTTTTATGTCTTATGTCAATGACAGGAGAAAAATATGTTACAACCAATCAGTGCTGTAGGAAAAAATCTTTCCCTTTGAGTCCTATTTTTTTATTCTTGAACATTTCTGGTTCTTTTGATTTTTTCTTTGGCTCTGATAAACTTACCTTCAAGCCTATGTAATGACTGTCATAAAACTGCACATTTAAATTATTTGATTTATATTAAACAATTGTTCAGCTATCTGGGCAGCTGTTAATGAAATACCTGAGAGTAACAACACTACTCTTTTATCTACCTGAAATATTTTCCTGCATAAAATTCATCTTTGTAAGCTAACTCTATTAATCATGTTTCTAACCTCTATACTTCAGTTAAAATTATTTAACCCAACAAACAAGGAAAATCAAAAAACAAAAAACACTGCAGTAACCAAGGATGGAAAATGTGATTTGTATGAAGAACCTTTACTCACTTTACACTGTACCACAGATAAATGTGATTTTGATAAGAATTCCACACGTGACAAGTATGGTACGTAAATTTTACTAAGAATATTGAATATAAAATATTTTAATTCTAAATTATAAAAATATATAAATTTGCACATAATATAGAAATTCATTTTGTGTATATTTAACAGAACTTTAAAACTATTTTACATTTACCAGCTACTCATTAAAGTTTTTTAAACCTCTGCAAAAAAGTTTAGAAATGTTTTTAAATTATCAGTGATATAACCTTATTTGTTTCATTTAACAAGTCTTGTCTTTGTAAAAAAAATTTTAACTTAGAGTGTATTTTTAAATTAAAATATTTAAATATAAAATAGCTCTAAAAAACAAATTCTCATTAAACAAGTTTTTTTATTATTTCTCGCTTGAATTATACATAAAATTAAATTGTCTTAACAGAAAATTGGGGAATATGATAATTTTACATAATATACTATGAAGCTGTTCATATAATTCTGATTGACTACTAACTTGTTTATGTATTTATTAAAGAGCTGACACTGTAGTTGTGAGATGTCTATTTTTCTAACAGAGCTTGTAAAAGTTATGACAAGGCATTTAATTAATGCATCATTCTGTTTAAAAGTAGGTGTTAATCAATATAAAATTGTTTTAAAATAAAAATGTAAAGATCTAAGAATTCTCCTTTATTTACCAGTGTGTACTACATGACCATCACAGCTGCCAGGCAGCAGCTCTCTGTTATATGAGGAAATGTAATAACATCTATATATTGTCATTGGTAGAGGACATTATGTAATTCCAAAAACTACTACTTCTATAAAATTGTAGGGCCAATGATAAAGATGTTGGGGTCATTCTAATTGCTCTATTTCCCTTTTGATAGCTGCCCAATGATGGAAGCAGAAGGAATATACTAATTACAAAGAACTGAAAAACTAGCTAAAAGATAAATCAGGCTTTTTCTACCAGCCACTTTGATACAAATATAACATGTTCATAAACTTCAATTGTACATTCTCAAGAGCCATATTTAAACTACCGAAATTTATGAAATACCCGTGTTGTGATTTTTCTTTATTTAACCTAGGGGAGAGAGTAGAGCAAATGAGGGAACACATTAAAAGTTAAATAAGACATGTAGAGATATTCCCTGTCCTTTAGTTTTAATAGTTTGAAGGAAAAGGTATGTATAGCAAACCTGTAGATAGAAGGCTTACCCTGGAGAGATCAGAGGGAAGCAAGCTATCAGAAGGTCTCACGAGTCTTTTTTTTTTTTTTTTTTTGAGAATTCATGCCGTTTGGGTGTGGGCTACAGTCTTTCAAGTTCAGAATCCCCATTTTGTTGTTATGAGTATTTTCTTCCCTTCCCCTTTAGTAACAGGATCTACCCACTGGAGTTTCAGTAAAGACTTAACTACCCAGATTCCTTTGCAGCTAAACGTGGTGACAAGATTAAATGTTGGCCATTGGGATAGAAGAGGAAATAATATATGCAACCCCAGATCTCACTTCCTTTTTCCATCTTTTTGTTCCTGGGACAACTGTCTTTGCAAAGGAATTGTCAGAGCTTCCCCTTCAGCCATCAAACGATCACCTCAAGGCATCCCTTGATAGGGAAACAATCTTTTTTCCCTATCAAGGGATAGGGAACTACTAAACTACTGCACTCAATGTCATATCAGATAATCTGTAATGATGTATTCTTTGCATAATTGTTTCACTGAATCCTTAGCAATACTAAATACCATTTTCCTCAATTTTTCAAATAAGGAACACAAGGCACAGAGAGGTTAAAGCCTTTGTATAAATGCATGCAGTTAGTAAGTGGCCAAGGGAAAATTGATACCTAGCTCTGTTTTTATCCCCATAAATGAATGATCATGTGTGAGGATAGATTTTACTAGTTTAACTATGTCCTCATTTCCAAAAAAACATGTGCTGTAAATAAAGATAAGGAGCTAATAATATATGTGTACAAATACTACACAGGAAGAAGTAAATAGACCTTAAAAATGAAAAACAAAATGCTAAGTGCACTCAGATGCTACAGTGAGACAGCAGCAAGTTCATGGAGGATAGCATTTGACCTAGGCCTTGGAAGAGAGCTGAGTTTGTACATACAGAAAGTGAGGTCAAGGAGAGCTAGGAATGGTGAAGCAGAAAACAGTGGGGATTCAACTGATTCAAGAACACTGAAATCTTGTTGAGATGCAGCATTAGATAATGAAAAGCAATAACCTACAAGTCCTAGGTTATGGAGAGCTGGACTTCCAGGCTAAGACGCATGAACGTTCGTTACTAGGAAAAAGTAAGTCCTGAAGTTTTTGCAAAGAAAAGTTATGTTATTGGATTTATATATGGTTTGGCATATATTTACATGAACTAAACATAACTTTTAATTAAACATTAATTTTGTACCCTCTATTACTAAATGTAAATACTATTTAATACTATTAAATATTTAATGTTATTAAATGCTACTTAATACTAAATTTAAATACTATTTAGTACTGGTATTTAAAAAAAATGAAAGTATACAAAAGCAGAAAAAAAATTTCAAAATCCCACTTCCTAATAGCAATCACTTTTACAAGTATGCATATTTTCATTTTTTAATTATAAAATTTATAACCTTTATTGTGTTGATAATGCATATTTATTGTAAAACATCCTAAAATACATATTAGTCCAATCCAACCACTCAGAGTTGACCATTACCATAGATAGATAGATATATAGATACATAGATAGGTAGATATCTGTTTGTAATTAAGAAAAATATGCTACAATAAGTCTGGTATACAAATATTTTTTCTTCAAAAACATGTCAAACGTTTTGCATGTCAAGATTTAAACAACCATTGTAACAGGTGGATATACCCTTTCCATGAATGTGCTACAATATAGCTCTTAAATTCACTGAGAAAAAGAATGAGCAGGATATGATACCAAATATAAAACATTGATTAACAACTTTAGTATTCAACAAGAGGAGATTGGTTAAATAATTTTTTTTTAATGGAAGGGATTTGCATTTTATAATGGCAGAGGACAAGGAGCCAAAGTAGAGAGAAATGTTTATATTGGGAAGGTTTGGATTGGTCTAAGGTACAATAGGGAAACGTTTCAAATTATGACAAAGAGAAATCAGTCAAATGAGCTTGAAGAATTTTCATGAGTAAGTAAAGATCTAGACAAAAGTAGAGGGAGGGAATATAAGCTACTGCTGCAAGAAGATCTGAGAGAACTTGGAGACTGGCTAGATGTAGGTGATAGAAAAGAAGCTGGTCAAAGAGAATTCTAATGCTGACTCCAAAAATCACTACAGACTTCTATCCAAATTGGAAAAAACTCCCAATCTGATCTCACACACCACATTGTGCTTGCCAATCCATTACTTTTAGACTAAATTCTAAGTTCATCAAAATAGTTGGCCAGACAAAACTAAAGCTGTGAATTTTTGAGCCATGTCAATGATCATGCTTTCAATGTTATCAAAACAAACTTATCTGCAAGATCTGTCATATCTCCTTTTTATCTCGTGCTTTATATATGAATGCAGTGGTGGGCTGCATACAAAAAACAAATGGTACCCTGGCTTTTTCAACTTGGCAATCCTTTAGCACTTATTTGGTTTGGTGCATTATTTAGTCCTTAGGGCATGGCACTGTTTGGATCTCTTCCAATGAATTGCTTTAAGGTCTAAAAAATTTGCAGACTATAGTGATGAGAGGGAAACTTTATTGGGCTTTGGCATTCTCTGTGCTGTTTTTCCATTGTTATGACTACAAAATACATTCTAACCATCATTAAAGTCATGAGAGATAATTGTCCACTTAAGAAAATCCAAATTTTCCATTAACAATAGTTTTTTTTTCCTACAATTTCCCCTCTAAAATTCAGGATAATCTATAAATCCATGGTTCTCAAAGAGTAGTCCCAGACCAGAAGCATCGGTGTCACCCGAAAACTTGTTAGAAATGCAGGTTTTTGGTTTCTACCGTAAATCTTAATCAGAAACTTGGAATGGGGCCCAGTGATCTGTGTTTTAACAAATTCTCTAATTCTGATGCCTGCTGAAGTTTGAGAACCAACTCCATAAAGAGTGAAAACCAGCATCAAGAGACCATAGTTATAGATTATGCTTACCAGTGCACCTAGGCCAGTACCCAGTACTCAGTACTCAGTGCAGGTACTCAATTAAATGTCGAATGAGTCAATGATGTTGTTTTCTCTGAGACCTTCAGATATGTCCCTGAGAAATATTGTGTTCAAAATGCGTCATTTGTTTTACAGTTAAAATAAAATAATAAAATGATTGTCATATTGTTTAAAAAAATAAGGTTGACTTCAATTACTTTTTATAACAAGCCTAACATCTCCAATGTACGTAGAGTCTTACATTAAAAAATTTACATTATCCACAGCCAGTTATCAAGTTTTCTGTCATTGAAACCCTCTCTATTCTTCTCAAAAGCTAAGTGCATGTAGATTTATGCATATTGATGAACCAGTTGGAGGATCTCCACCACTGCCCTACATCACAGGGAAATTTCTGACATGGTTTGTGGAGTTCTAGCTTAGCCAGAGAAATCTTCTCTTCATATTCTCATATTCACCAAAGTATACAACTTCTCTCCCTCTTCTCTGTTCAGAGATACTTACAAGTGTCCAGGTCTATTGGCTGTCTCAGGGAATACACACGGAACAGCCACACTAAGGTCAGCTGAGCACGGCATCCCTTCCATTCCACTCCCTGTCACTGGAGTAGAAAATCCTTCTGCTTTCTCTCATTTTAAGGAATCACATTTGTTTACTCTTTTTCTCTCAGGTCTAAAACACCTCTTTCTTCCTTGCCCTAGATCCAGTTTTATCCCATCTTGGAAAAAAACAGTAGTTCTACAGGCATGTATCCAAATCTGTCTCCAGTCCACTAAATTTTGCATTTATTTTGGTAGGTATTTATGCTTTAGCATGGGTTTGGAAAAGGGAGTGGGGAGAAAACCTTACGGTGCCAGTGAACAGCAAAAGGAAAAGGAAAAATTTATATATATACATATATTTACTAAGGATTAGATAGACCCAAAGAATAAGTAATGGTACTGAGAACCTGTTCTGGA